TAGGAGGGCGGGGCAGGGCTGCTTGGGGAAGGGGGCGCCCGGGTGGAGTCCGGCTCGGACTCCCTCGGCGTCCGTGCCAAGCACGGCGGCGCGCGCGGGGAAGGCGGCGGCGGCGGCGACTGGGCCGGCCTGCTCGGCTGGGCCTTCGGCCCAGTCGGGCGCGAGGTTGTTTTTAAAAAAAAAACATCCCGCCGAAAGAAAAATTCCTAGAAAAATAAGTAAAAATCTAAAAATTCCAAAACAAGTTTTCTCCGTCTAAATAAAATATTTAGAAAAAGATGAACTTTTCTGGGCCCCTAAAATGCAAATTTTAAATCATGCAACATTTTTTCTAGGGCAAATAAAATCCCGAATAAACTCAAATAAAATCCAAAAATGATTTTAGTATTTTTCCTCCGATATTTCAATTATTTTGGAGAAGTCATATTATCTCCCCTCATTTATTATTTTAAAATGAAAAATTTTCCGGAGAGAGAATAATTAAAATCAAATCCTCGTCTTCACTATTTGATAAAAATTTCAAATATGAAAATTAGAAAATCCCCAACTCTCTCCGAAGGTCCTTGAGTTGCTTAGGATCTCGAGGATTGCAAATGAAAAACAATAAAATATGATATGCATGGATGATCTATGTATAACATGCCAAATTGGAAATTTGGGATGTTACAAACCTACCCCCCTTAAGATGAATCTCGCCCTCGAGATTCGGGTTGGCTAGAAAATAGGTGCGGATGGTCCTTGCGAATATCCTCCTCTCGCTCCCAGGTGGCTTCCTCCTCAGTATGATGACTCCACTGAACTTTGCAAAACTTGATCACCTTATTGCGAGTGACTCGGCTATCAAACTCAAGAATCTTAACTGGCTTCTCCTCATAGGTCAGATTATTATCCAGCTGAATCGCCTCCAAAGGTACTGTATCATTCAACGGTATATCTGCCATCTCAGCATGACACTTCTTCAGCTGTGATACGTGAAACACATCGTGAACTCCTGACAATCCTTCAGGTAACTCCAGCTTGTAGGCAACTTCTCCCATCCGTTCCAAAATACGATACGGTCCTACAAATCTCGGGGCTAACTTTCCCTTAACTCCAAAACGTTTTACTCCCCTCAAGGGTGATACTCGTAGATAGGCTCTGTCTCCAATTTCATAGATTACTTCCTTGCATTTTGAATCTGCATATCTCTTCTGTCTGGACTGAGCAATCTTTAGTCTGTCTCTGATCAGTTTAACCTTCTTGATTCCTTGATCAAATCTGGTCCAAACAACTGACAGTCTCCTACCTCGTCCCACATCAATGGTGTTCTACATCTGCGTCCATACAGAGCTTCGAATGGTGCCATCTTCAAACTGGCCTGGTAACTGTTGTTATAAGAAAACTCTGCGTACGGCAAATTGTCATCCCAACTAGATCCATAATCTAGCGCACAGGCTCTCAACATGTCCTCCAGAATCTGATTGACTCTCTCTGTCTGCCCATCTGTCTGCGGGTGGAAAGCTGTACTGAACTCCAATCGGGTTGCCAAAGTCTGATGTAATTGATGCCAAAACTTTGAAGTAAATTGGGTTCCTCTATCTGATACGATGCTCCTCGGAACTCCATGTAAACATACGATCCTGGTCATATATATCTTGGCCAGCTTTGCACTTGTATACGTTGTTTTCACCGGGATGAAGTGAGCTACCTTAGTCAATCGATCCACAACTACCCATATAGAATCATATCCTGCCTTGGTTCTGGGTAATCCGGTAATAAAGTCCATACCAAGTTTGTCCCACTTCCATTCGGGTATTGGCATAGGTTGTAACAGTCCTGCTGGCTTCTGATGTTCTGCCTTTACTCTCTGACATACATCACATACGGCTACATACTCGGCAATATCCTTCTTCATTCCAGTCCACCAGAAACGTTCCTTCATGTCCAGGTACATCTTGGTGTTTCCGGGGTGAATCGAGTATGGTGAGTCATGGGCCTCCTAAAGTATCAACTTCCTGATCTCCGAATTGTTGGGCACATAAATTCGGTCCTCAAACCACAAGGTATCGTGCTCATCCTCGCGGAAACCTTTGGCTTTACCTTCGCCCATCCTCTCTCTTATCTCAGCAATCTCTTTGTCTTCCTTCTGAGCTTCTCGAATCTTGTCCAACAGCGTCGACTGAACTTCCATTGTTGCAAGAAATCCTCTTGGAACAATCTCCAGTCGAAGTTCCACGATCTCCGCAGCTAACTCCTTTGGCATTCCCTTGCTCACAAGAACATTAGCATAACTCTTCCGGCTCAAAGCGTCTGCTACGACATTGGCCTTTCCTGG